ACTGCCTCTGCCATCTCTGGCATCATGGAATTCTTAGAGCAGTTGCTTTAAGAAGCCTGAATATAATGCAGGTAACTTGTGCCATCTTGAAAGTGCGTTTTTCCCTCTTCCCAAACTGGCAAAAACCATCCCGCTGAGAATGAGTGGGGAAAGAAGGCCAGCGGCAGTCGTCTTTTTTGCCTCCATCAGTGCAAACCTAAGGCTGACCCTGCAAAGGCTGTCCTATCCCTTCTACCACTTAGTGCAGGAGGTGCAATACTATATGCTCCATTTCCTGTCTTTTTCATATAGCATTTCCTGGAAGGATATTAATCTAGGTTTGATTGTTGGGTCCCCCCACCTCCCTTTTCATTCTTTATCTTTTAAAATCACTGCAAGAATTGTTTACAGTTCTGCTTTGCAGATCTCGAGAGCAGAAAAGTAGGGTGGGGAAGGCACTTTCAATAATTTATTTTAAAATCAATGTTAATGAGGTTCCATCTCGTCATTGGCCTGGGTTTTACAATCAAGCCTGATTTATTTAGAAAAGATCTTTGGTGCCACTTTCCCGTCTAACAGTGGAGGCAGAGCAGGGCAAGGGGAACTGTTTCTGTGACCCTCCAACTTCAGATCCAATTCTGAATTCACAGAGGGACAGCCTGACCAGGTTTGCATTGATTTGAATGGAGAGCAAGAGACAGCTGTGTCCTAGACAAAGTGATGGTGTGGAGAAGCTTTGGCTTCCACAAAGTGCAGCACAGCAGACTGTCCAGCATGCTTTACAATAATCATACGATATCAGCAAAAGATCTGCCCTCATGGCTGACTGGCTTTGAATCTAGCCACTTGTCAGATGTCTGTTTTGTTAGCTGAAAATGAGAGCACCAGATGAACTGAATTTCATATTAGGAGCAGAATTCAGTATCCCAGAAGTCTCAGCTTTGATTTTTATTTTTTAAGAAAACAAGTTTCTAATCTGTAAAACTGCAAAATCAGGCTGACAATGCCCAGTAAAATTTTAGCAAGTGGATGAAACAAAACTTCTTTTAGTCAGGCTACACAGCTTCACTTTGCTCCTCCCTGTAACTAACCAAAGAAGATGTGTGAAATAACCATGGGTTTTGCTGAATTGCTGGATTTATTCAAACCATAGTTTAAAATCGGTGCTGCCTATACCTGTTTGGTTCATCTTAAAACTTTAGTTTAAGATGCACTTACGGTACATAAAGATGGATTCTCTTTCTCTAATCTAACCAAGATTAGGGCCCAAATCGGATGGCGCACTGGAGCAGAGCCACACAAGGGTGTGGATCAAGATTCTTTAAAGAGGCACTGCAATGATATTTTGGGCACTTGAGGCTACTGCCATGCCTCTTCATTCAGCACAGCTTCAGTCTACTCTGGTCATCAGCATTTTTGTGGCATTTTTAATGTATCGGTACTAAAACACTTTTTATTATTTTTTAAAAACTATTAACATATTTGCGCAATAACATTTACATAACAATAAACCTTACATGAAAAGCATTAAAGCACTGATTAAACAATTAAACACATTTTCTAGGCAGCACTATTTTAGTAACATCTATCAGTTTTATACACAAGACTTCACTGGGAAAAAAGTGCCTGAAACTGTTCACAAAGTACTGCTCAAATGGAAAAGCATTTTAGTACGATGTAAAATTTGCTTAAACAATAAACAAATGGCTAAGCAAGCATTGCCACTAACTTGTCACACCCACTACTGTGGACATAAAACAGCCTTTTTCCACCCTTTATTTTATTTATTTATTAAAAGCTTTTCTAACCCGTCCACTACAAGCGTCTTGGGACGGCTTGCACCCTTCTGCCTTTCAGATGTGTTGGACTACAATTTCCATAATGCCCCATCCAGACTTTTTAAAAAAATATATAATCCTGGTGTTGAAAGTCAACCACAATTTTGCATGTATCTTACACTAAAGCGAAGGAACAAATGGCTCAGTTGAGCTGAAAGTCAGCACTTTGGAAGCGCCTCCAGTTTTAAGTAGATCCTGAGGCTCCTGGTTTGAATCCTGGCACATACCCTGCCATGTAATAGGGAGAATATTTCAGCCACATATTTGAACTTGGTCAAGAATCCGGAGAAGAGAAGGAATGATACAATTCTTCATTGCTAATTCAAAGACAGCACAGCCAGCAAGCTCACCAAGTGGTTACATGACCCTGTGTTAAGATACCACTTGGAAAGTAGTTGTCTGCATCCGACCTCTGTTTTCTGTTAGTCTCTTAACCCTTGTTTCCTTCTAGAATCCTTTCTCCCTTTCTGCTAAGTCTGTCCTTCCGCCCACACATCCCCCTCTTCCCTCCCTTTTCCTCTTCCCGTGGCCTCCATCATCTCCTGACAGTGTGTTTCATTCATTGTCTTCTCTTTAGTGAGACCGGAGATACTTGTCAAAGCTCAGGAAGCTTTCCCGCTTGTGTTATGCTTATAAAGTGCCATGTAAATTTACGATGCTATAACAAGTGATTGCTATTACTGCCTTAAATAACAATTGATAGGTTTATGGGGCATGTTTTAAAATATTACCTCCCTCTGCTAGCAGGTGATAACCCATTTTCCCTTCCTTTTCTATATGTTAAACCTTGGTATATAGTTTGTTGTTGCCAGAGAGCAATGGAATGAAAGTGGATTCTAATGCTACCACACCATAGTGTTGCAACCAATAATCAGGGCCCATGAGGTTGTGATCACATCTGAAATCAGCTTCCCATATGGGCTGACCAGTTTGCAGGATAAATAACCAGGTTACATGAGAAGGAAATGTGACATTGAAGCCGAGTCAAACCATGTGAAACCACACTTCTGAAATAACATTTGATTTGGAATCATTTCATCCTAAGCATGTATGTGTACTGGTGGTGTCACTAATGGTGAGAAGAGAAAAAGGAGAAGTGGGACAGCAAGGCCCGCTCCATCAGTTGCCATTTAGTGCTTTCTCTCACCAAATTCTGTATTCCAACTGATTATTTTAAGAATTATTATGTAACTTTTGGAATTAGTTCCTGAGTTTTCTTGCTTTCCTCTCCACCCTTCCTTTGGTGTCATTTCTGTTGCATTGCAAGCCTGTGGCCAGGGGCTGCCTGGTTTTTATAGTTCCTGTACGAAGCTTCACAAATTTTGGGTACTTTATAAATGAATTATAATAAAAATAATACTTTCATTTATATAGCACTTTTGAGTCTTCAGAGTGCTTTACATACATTACCTCAGTTACTCATACAATAACACTATAATGTAGGTCAGTCGTATTGTAAATGGCAAAGTGAAGACAAATCATTTTAATAGCTGTCACAGTGAGATCTTTACCTACATTGCAAACCCACCTTCGTAGACTGCCTTGCACACATTTCTGTCTTGCAAGTCAAATGCTGAATCAGTTCTCAAACATGCCACTTTTATTGTGCATCCGGTTACTGATGTATGCTCATTACTGTATATGTGACACATGCAAATTTATGAAAATATGCACCCATCCTTTACCCCCAAAAACCCCAAAACAAAAATAACAAAAATAACAAACTTAAAATTGCAGGTTACTTGTGTTAGCGCTACTGGCATCAGCCAATAAACACCCAGTACACCTGATTTTTTCACTAACACACCAAACATTTGCAGAAGAATTTTTTCAGAACTCACTTTAGAGGTGCTTTGAGGCAGAGGACTCCTGGTGCTACCAGCCAAAAGACATTGTACAGCAATTCCTTTTTCCTCCTCCCCCTTTTTTTTTTGCAGGAGGGGGGACAAAAAGATGGAAGAAGCACTGAGAAAGCACTCAAGGGTTAAAAATGTAAGCTGTCATTGTCTGGAGCCACTCTTAACATTCTCTGAATAAAACAGGGCAATTGGACAATAAAGGCCTTGTCCCAACCATCCTAAGACAGAAAATAAGTGGGATTTCATATAGTCAAGCCACCATCTTTAAAATGTTGTTGTCGTTATTCGAGGTCAAATAAGGCTAATAATAGCTTTTTCTGAGAGTTGAAATGGTTTGAAAGAGGGTTTGCTTATTGTAGTATGCACAGTTATCCTGCTTTTACTCTATTAAGCAAGCTCTGAAAGTGATGCGTAACCTGTCTGATCAGAGGTAACAGTAGGCCAGGTGGGTATGTTCATACACCATGTGAATTGCACCTAACCTCTTTCAGTGTTCATGAAAAGTGTTGCCTACCTTCATCCATAAGAGCAAAAGGGGGGTTCTGTTAGGGTTTTTTTCCATTCCGAGTTCAGTCTTTTAACAACTGCACTGTATTAGATCTATGGAGCCATCACAGAGGGCTTTTTTTTTACATGTTGTCCCAGTGATAGCTGCGTATACATTGTCTGAGGGTGTGTATGTGTGTGCTGTTGAACAGGAGAGGTGCCCCTCCCACTCCAACTTCAGGGTTACCTCAAATGTTGTAACATTCCTATAAATAAGGAGTACTGAGTAAGCATACACACCATTCTTTTCTTTCTCTTTTCCTTTTGTGTGGTGATCTCACTTGTGGCTGTTCGACTGCTTATATATAATAACCAAACACTGGAATATTATATACAAGTAACCTTCCCTAATCTGATGCCGTCCTGATGGTTTGGACCTCAGATTCAGGGAGTTGTAATCCAACACATCTAGAGGGTACCAAGTTGAGAAAGTCTATGTTCAATTATCAGCTAAGCTGGGTATGATGCTGGTGATCAATAACCAGGATCTCCTGTAGTGTTCTTGGCATGGGGATGGTAGGGGTGGTGGGGGTACTCTTTCACCAAAGGAACAAATGAATTTGAAAGAAGCTGTCTGAACCAGGGGCTACCAACTTGTGAGCCTTAATGTTTCTTAAAGTAAATGGTTTTCAGTGAGGATTGGTATCCACAAGTATTTGTATTTGCGTCTCTGATAATGTTTAGATTTTTCTTGCATGTAAAATCCAGATTATAATGAGGCACAATTACCTTGCTAGCAGAGATGGCTAGATTTTATTTATTTCTTGTTTCACTTTAGATGAGGATCTTGACTTGCTGGCTCCAAACAACAGAGAAGCTGCTGGAACTATAGAGGAGACAGGTAAAAGTTCTATGCACGGTACAGTTGGCAAAATGTCCATTTAGGCTCAGGTTCAAATCTCCAGTCAGAATTGCATGACATTTGATGGCTAACCTGGATTTGCTGCTTTATGCTAACATGGAGTGGTCCTCAGGGATATTTCTTTTGCTTTCTCCCTAACACTAAGAACCACAAGCAACTGACAGTGGTTGGTTGAAATTGGCATCAATACAACTTTCATTAAATCTAGATCCTAATCCTATCCTGATGGCTTTTAGCTTTCTGTTTTTGAAGGTTTTTTGGACTAAGAAGTATTATCCTACCTGGCATTATTTCTTTCTAAAAAAAGAAAGAAAATAAAACAATAAAGGGTCCCTTCTCTTTCCAATAATTACTAGCTTTTTGTTCTTATTAAAGTGTGTGTTCAGACACATTAAAGAATAACTATGCCCTTTCTCCAGTATCCTCAAAAGAACATCTGTGTTATTTGGCAAGTTGCAGATATTTTTACATTTAATCAATCAATTAAAACCCAAATAATTAATCATCTAAAAGCATGTGTTTGATCAATTGGCAGCCCTATTGGCTTCTTCCTGGATGGAGATAGGGTTGAAAAATTCTCCGTAGGCACAGCTAAGGAAGATGGTATGTATAGACCTGGATCAGTAGTTGAATGCATTGCCAAGAATACCAAAAATTATTCCAGAGAAGGCAAGTCCTTTTATCCGGAGGGACACCTTCAGACTTATTGGAGGAAGACAGTTCTAGGCAGTGCATATTTTGTTCTGGGCCTCATAAGGTAATTAAAAAAATATTTGCCGTTAAGCAAAACCATTTCTTACATGTCCCTAAAAATCAAAGAAGATGACCAGCCCTGATGAAGTCAGTGGGACAACACATTTTTTTTTTCTCATCCATTACATAAATAAAGCTAATCAAACTGATACAGACTTTCTGAATTGCCAAAAAGAAATCTGGCTTGGCGTAGGGCTTAAACATAAAAAAGAAAGTTGTAAACTCCACTGCATACCTAAATTTATGGTGTTTTAAGATTGATAGATTGTTGCCTGATTTAGCATCCCTTTGTTGACTTCTCCCCACTGTCCTTGCCCCAAGTGTATGAATATGATGAATCCCCCTCCTTCCCTGACCTCTCAGTGTTCAGGAAACAGGTACCAGAAAGCCTTTGAGGAGGAGCCAGGCTCATAAAACGCAGGCAACAGAAGGGTGGAGGGGAAAGAGCAGTCAGAGTGTGAAGAAAGCAGAAGAGGAAGAGCTTGTGAAAAGGAAAGGGTGGGGGAAAGAAGGTGGCTGGACAACCACTGAAAACCAAAGGGAAAGTGGAAGGAGAGTCATAGCTGCCCGTGCCAAAAGGAAGAGAGAGCAGGGGAAGGTCTTGTGGCTGGAAAGCTGACCTCCTCAATCACTGCATGCAGCTGCCACTCATGGGGAGCCTGTCTTTCCAGAGCCTTCATTCCCACCCTTGCCTTTTCCTTAGGAATTCAGGCCTTGCAGGAGCTGAGCGGAAAGCCTGTTTCCTGGACCTAGCCTTGTTCCACCTTGTCCTACCCCACCCACCCACCTGAATCGCTCCTTTGCCAGAATGGGTGAACCCAGTTCAGGAAAGAAGCACTTAGGTGGGGCTGCTTTGACTTCCTGTGGTTCTGGGTGTTGCCTTTTGCATATAGCACAGGAAACAGCATGCAAGTAAACTATGGTTCACCAAGGCCATTAAAATAGTACTCCCATTCCCAGTCTCTGGTGGACAGGGATAAGATTTTTAGTGGCTCCACCACCAACCCATTAAATTGGCCTGGACAAAGCTTGTTAAAGACACTATTGTAAGACTTCATTTATACCAAAAGAGATATTGGGGCTCATACCTGAGGTGCATGGCGATAGGCTATGGTTAGCTCTGTCATAAAGGAAATGTACTTTTCACATGCTCAGAGGTGACTTGCTCTGTATTATTGTTTCATATGCTCTATGGCTAAATGTCAACCTTGAAAATAGTTCTTGAAGCACAGCTTCCTTAAAATAACTCTGTATTGTTGGTGGGTGCTTGGGTTTTTCTCTATAACATTGTTTATTTAAATGATGTTAATGTTTTCTATTATGCTTTTATTGTTTTATTTATTATATTAATGTAAATCACCATATGTGAAGGGAAGGGACTATATATGTAAATTAAATTATTTATTTTATTTAAAACTGTTATATGCCGTCCCTTATGCATGGCATCTCATTATAAATTATTATAATCATATCTTGTTATTTTTTCTTCCCAACATTTCCATACCTATGCTTTCCTTAAGATGCAGCTCTTAAATATTTAGCAGTTCAGATTTGACAAAATTCATCTTTTTTAAGTTGCAAAAGAGCTATTTTAGGGAACTCTACTTTGGTCTAGACTAGAGTCTCCACTTAATTTTTTTGTGTGTGGCTCAGGCTGTGGAATTTAACTAGCTTGCTTCTGAGTTTTACATAAAACAACATTCAAGGCCATTTTGGAGGCTCCTGTACATGTAAAACACTCAAATTTTGAGGGAGGTCTTTTCATTCCATCCAACTACCTTTTACTCTTGGCCTTTTCCCACACTAGTTGCTTACTTTAAAATTGGTATCTTTCTTCTTCTAAGTTTTTAATGGACAATGCAGATGACAACATTGTCAGATTGTTGCTTTTCAATGTTTTCTGTACTGTTTCCTCCCATTTTTGCTTACTTTTTTCCCTACTTAAAATGCAGTTGTAGCACCAGCCTATCTACATAGTAATGCACTACTGGGTCATTTTATAACAATTTCACCTTTAATTAGAAGCTTCCTCTGTGCTGCATCTGTCTCTGAAAAAGCTCCTGTTTAGTATAGTGGTAGCATTGCTGCTCCTTAATTGGCCTTTAATTTATTGGTTCTTGTTCCCCATAAGAGACTTTCATTACTGAAGTTACTTTTTGTTTTTTGTTTTTTTGCAGTGCTATTTTGTTACATTAAGAAGTAGAAACCAAAAACTAAATAATCAATCAATAATCTCTTTTGTGAGAAAAGGAACTAAATAATCAAGAAGCCATACTGTGGCCTTACTGAACAGAAAGCAACTGGAGAAAGAGGATGCAAAGAGGAAGCTTCTAATTAAAGTTGCAGGAGATAGTTGTTGGACTGCAGTGCCTCAGCTACACTAAATTAACTTAGTATGGAAGCAACCATGGAAAACTTTGCTTAATTGACATTTATAGTGTTAGGGAAATCACAACACTGAAATTTGCTTCTGGTTCCCAGGTCCTTATTCAGCACAGACCTGCATTGTCAGGCTGACTAGGGAGCTGACATTTATACACTACAATGTGAGCTTCCAGCTATTCCAAATGATACACATCACACCCATTTATTAAGAACTGCAATCCTGCCACATAGTATTAGTGGGGTATATTAGCAGTGATTGACATGGCAGTGTCACACTTGGGAGTGACTTGGAACAAAATGAAGCATTATGCTGGAGATGATTCTGGGCTTTGGAGACAATCAAATCAATCCTGACAGTGTATGATTTAAAGTATCGCAAAACTCATTTCGGCATGCAGATACAAGTAAGCTGTATTCAAGTTGCTCAAGTAGCTCTGTGTTGCATAAGGAACTGGGAACAGGAGCCATGTTCAGCCTCCTGAGTAAAGCCTGAAATAATATGAAGCTGACCAGGATAAATCTGACAGTGGGGTAGTGGTGGTGAGATTAAAATTAAAAACAGAAGGGAGGAAAACTAGTGTGACTCTGAACTATTCATGGTTGCCTAGTGATAAGCCCCATGCCTGCTTCTCTCTTTAGAACAGAAGTTCTGAGCCCTGTGCAATTTTTTAATTTTCTACATGAGCTTCGTAACTCTCTTCCCAGTTTTGTACATGAACTCTTGCTCCCTTTTCAATATCTCACACAAAAGAAGCAGACCTACTTTCTTTCACGTACTATTGCTGAGATGCGGGCTCTCCCTGCTCTGCCATTACCCATTTCATCAAATGTTTCTTGCATATTTAGGTAATGTAAAACTGGCTACACTAATCCAGACGGTTTCTTAATGTGATGTCCCTTACCCCCAATTCAGAGTGGGCTTTTCCTCCCTTCATGTGTGCCTCCTACTCTATAAGACAGCTCAGGCACCATTAGTGGCAATGAGTTTGTGCTAAATTTTGGGCAAAATGCATTAAAAACTGGTTTAAATAACATGCTTTTCTTCAGTGCTGTCCTACCACAAAAACCAGTGCTATGTTATGAAAACTGCAAGCCTTATAGAAATCAAGCCACTGCAAAGGGTTATATCTGGTAAACTTACCCATTGGTGAATCTGGGGTAGGGAACAGACCTCACCATGGCCATCTTATGAAAACCAGAGGCCATAGCAAGGTCTTCATTAGCCTCTTTGCTAATTCAAACAGCTTCTGTAACTTGAGTCAGGAAAAAGAAACAAGCAAGCAAGCAAACAAGTGCAGGGTCAAGTACAGATATTATCAAATATTCTGCAATGTTTTGTGAACTACCCAGAGAGTTTCGACTATTGGGCAGTACAAGGATGTGATTGATTAAGTAAACCTTTCCATGAACCAGCTGAATGGGCAATGGTATGAGAAGCTCTGCTGTACTCTTTTCCTTACCCCCTCTCTCTTTGGTTCTAGAAAAGGTCCTAAGATGCTACTCAAATTACTATCAAGGTCTATGGGACTGTACTGGTGGCCACCAAGATGAGTTATCCTTCCAGCGGGGTGATCTGATATATATCGTCAGCAAGGTATGTTTGAGATACAGTTCTGGTACCATAGCTTCTGGCCCTTTCCACTCTTCCAAAGGAAAGAAGGAAACTTGTCTGATGTTAAGGATTCATCTCAAAATTGTGGGGAGGGAAGGTGTGACTTTGGCTTTTCTTCATGATCAGTCAAACTGTGACCCAAGCTGCTTTTATTATTATTTAAGTGTGTTTTTGATGACAATTGTGTGATACCATGACTGCATGTAAGACACCTCTTTCCTACCCACTTACTAGCTTTACTGTGGGGGAAGCAAACTTGCTGTCTAAGTGATACTGTCCTGCTGTTGATTGAAAATTCCAAATAAATTTGCAATCCAGGACAGGAAAAGGGGAATGCACAGAATGCTCGGTTTTTGTATGACAGGTAGGAAAAAAGCAGCTTTGCTGGTGTTGCCACTTGCTTATTTTAACATCACTCAATAAATATTGCTACATTGGAGTTTAGGTCAGGTGGGTGAGGGAAGGAAGGTGCTAAGTGTGACTGTGTAAGTGCTGAGATTCTTTCTTTGTCATGATCATTACAAATAAACAAATGTGTCAATGATGTGAATGGTAGGTTTATTAAGGATGCCAAGGAAGAAAAATGCTCTGGGGCAGCTTTCCCCTTCTAAGTGCCCCCCACCCCCCAATCTGTTGAACTAGAACTTTCATTATGGCCAGCCATCTTGGGCATAGGCCAGGCTTGGGCTGATCTAAACTACAGTCTAACATTTCTGCAGGGTGCCTGGTTTGTAGAGGTTACTTTAGGAAGTGTTTGCAGTTCACATAAATGAATTGTGAAGTGGTCCACTGGTGTAGCTGGTCTCTTCCATCAGTTGAGCCTCTTCCCTACAATATTTCCTAGGAAACTCTGAAACCTATCAGGTTCCTATCATAAGTGGGCACTGGCTCCTTGACAAATGACTCAATGGGCCATTCGCATGTCACACCTATCTACCCTGGTTAGAAGTGGCTTATGGAATAAGATGTAAACCCTACGTGAGTTGGTTGTTCTGCCAACAAGCCGTGTGGCACCCATCAAACAACTAAGCTCATGATGGGTTGTTTGCCATTTTCTTCCCCTTCCTTCCCCTTTGATTCTCCTGCAGTCATCCCAGGGGATATTGCAGCAGAACCTATTCATCTCTCTCCTCCTCACCACAAGCAGGAGCTATTTTCAGCTCACTGCATTTATCCCTTTTTCTTTCAGAGATTGTGAAAGCCAGGTTGATAGTAGCATTCATGTTCCCAGTTTTGACAGCCCCATCTCTTTTCACATGCAAAGTTCACCCTTTGACAGCTAACAAGAAAAGGCAAAGGGAAAATGTATTTGGTCTCTCTTTGGGGCAATGTCCAAGGTTGGTACCTGCCACACCTTGCTGACAGGTATCCCCCAGGACGTTGCACCAACCAAGGCTTCAGATTCCCATTCGTGCACAACTGTGAACTAATTGGCACTTTGAAGGTGTTGTCTGTGACTGTAGAAACAGGGATCATGAAAACCAACTCTCAAGCCATCTCTTGCAATCTCAGGGGGGGAAAGGGAGGGAAAGGTGGTGCGGGGAGCCACATTGATCTGCGGCAAGGAGGAAAGCACATCAATGACAGCTTCCCCCAAGTGCTGCTGCCACTAGCAGTTGACTGGACTTATTTGGCAAAAGAGACACAGGATTTTCGCTGTTCTTGCCAAGTGGCTTGGTAGCTGATTCCTGACACTCATAAGGGGGTGGGGGCAGTCACCCAATTTAAACTAACATTACAATTCACTGTAGGTATAACAACCCCTAGAACAATCTATGGATTTTCAGGTGGCTTATTGCTCTTGAACAAGCTACCCTTGAGGAATTGGTCTGAGTTCACATAACACGACAACTCATCACATGGGTGGCAGCCTATCATGGGGTAAGAAGCCACAATGGCTGGCCATGTTGTATGAACCCAATAGATGTGGAAAAGTTCTCTGAAGCTAGAAAATGTTGAAGACTGTAGACCTAAGCAATTATCACTCCATGTCTTTGTCTCTCTTTGCCCATCCCTGCTCATACATCCACCCCATCTCCCTCCTACCCGACCCAGAAAGTTGCTTTTAGAAACTCTTCCTTCTTTTCAGGTTGACTTGCTGCACAGTGGAGTTTGTCGCAGTAATAGGCTGACCGTGTGTGTAATCACTCAGGAATTGCAAGGGTAATTGAGCTGCTTGGTCAGGTGTGATGTAGGGGTGCAGGGAACACAGAAGTGCAGGGTGAGGGAGTGTGGTGATGTGAAGTACTCTGCCACAAATGTGCAGCTGAATGAATTGGCTGATTTATAAATCTGCAGGTGAACACATTGGCCTAAGCAAGATGCAGCTTCAAGCAGTCCAATTTCAGGACCCAGAAAGATTAACTGTCTGGTATAGTCAAAACCAGGCAAGACTCAACATGCAAGGCAGTGATCAGGGAAAGGGAAAGTCAAGTTGAGCCATTGTCCGGCCTGAGAAGCAAGCCCTGTAACTAGGGCAGGGATGTATCACCTCTTTGACCCTGAGAGCCACATCAGGTGTTTGCTGCAGCGGGGAGCACACTGGACACTGATTCATGCTTGCATACACTCACACGCATCACAAACTCAGGCATGCACGCACACACATGTATGCACGTGTTGAAACTCATGTCCCTACTTACACAGGCAGACACACCCCACAAAGACAAACTGTTTCCCTGACTCTAACACAAAACTTTTGCTTGCTAGCACCTGTAAGGGAAATAGTTTCCTTAGGAGCTTAGGACAACTTGGGGCTAAGATATATAACTCAGTACTTTGCTTTTTCTACCCTCAGTCAACCTCTGAGATCATTTGAGGCAACATTATTAGCCATTCCATGATTAGCAGTGTTGACAAATAGCAGATAGAAGCTGGCCTTCTCAGTAGTGGCACCCACCCTATCTAACACACATGTTATTCAAGAGGAAAAAAGTGTGTCAGGCTTTAAATGCCTCTTGAAGACTTATTTGCTTACCTAGGTTTTCCCTGATCTGTAATGGCTTATAGCACTGCTCCATCTTACAGTTTTCTTGTAATATTTTATGGGTTTTGTTTTTCTTGATTCTTCACTTTTAATATGTTGATTTTGTTCTGTTTATGTATGTGTATTGTGAAATACTTAAGTATCTTAAGACAGGCATGTATGTGCAGTGCATGACCTATAAGCCACATGTGGCCCTTACTGCCCCTCAATAGTGTAAAAACAAATAAGGAAGAATGGTCTCCAGGCAGCCATTTGGACCCTTTTTTACACTTTTAGGACAATGAAAAAGCTCAAAGTTAGTTTGCAAATAAGCTAGCTCTGCTTCTTTTGACACTGCACAGCTTGTCCGGACACTTTGCATTGGGCATGGAGGGGTGTGGGTGGCAAAATGGCCCCTGGACTTTACAAAGCAGCCTACCATTAAGCACCATGAAAGTAGTGTGCATGCAGCAATAAAGCATAGTAATCTGCCTGATGCTCAGTCCTTCTAGCCCAGTACTGTTGACATTGACTGGTAGCAGCTCTCCCAAGATTTAGGTAAGAGTTTTGCTGGCTTTATCTTTAGATGCTGGGGATTAAACCTGGAACTGTCTGCATATAAAGTAGGTGCTCTACCACTGATCTACGGGCATTTTCTTTCTCAAGAGAGATTGAAGATGAGGGTTCCCTGCATCTAGCAAAGAAATTCTGAACAGGGTCCCCACAACTCTGTAGGCTGCACTGAAGGTTTCCCGTGACACACAGGCAGTGGATTGTGGACCTCTAGTTGCCTGAGTGTGTGGCCACGCTTGATGAACCCCCACAGAAGAGGCACCATCTACTGATACATCTATTAGATGGATCCTCAAATTATCTGAAGCGCAGTGTTTTCCAGTCAAATCAGTTCACATATTAATCTGTAACTAAGAACTCAAGTGTAGAGTTGTTTATATCATCTATGCCTCAGCTCTCATATGTTTGCACATTTTAGCTGATTTTGAATGAGTGCATTACAAATGGTGATTGGTGGAGCACCTGGTGACCCAGGTATTCATGGATTCGTTTCAGAACACAACCAACATCCATCTGCTACATCTCAGCTGATGTGATGGAGATATGAATGAGAATACCATTGTTAAAGAACTGGTCATTGAGACAGAGAGTACAGAAACTGGGCTTTTTAAGAGAAAGGCCTTTCACTCAAATTAATCTTATACAAATATATCTATTTTAAAATCATCTGTGAGATAATATGAATTCTTTTTCCTCCTCATTTTCAAGGAGGCAGCTGCTGTTTCTGTTGCTACTGTTTCTACTTCCCTTTCCCTGGGTTCCACAGAACTTGCCACCCCATTGGTAATCTTTAGCATTCATCATTTGTGCAGTACCATTAAGATTTCTAATAATTTCTTTCAGCGTTTGTGTATCTAATCCTTTCAAATAATTCAGTAGCAGTTTCTTGGCAGTTCTGTACCCCTCCATTGATTAACTATGTATTCCAGAGCATTTTGTTTTCCAAAATACACTATTTCAGATATTTTTTCAAATGTATTTTAAGCTCTTCCATATACCAATTTGTCTACAATTTTCCAACAGAAAGTCATGTTTTACTGTGTAGATATGGCAGCTCTGTACGTGAAGAAGCATTCATAATTCAGTGATGTCTTTTGCTTGCTTACTTTCACTTGCCATGTGAGAATATGACCTGATTTTAACTTCCTTCAGTGGCTTCAGATGAGGGCGCCACCACAACTTCCTCAAGTGTATCCAATTGGTCCTCAGTGTCTTCCTTTCGTAAATTACTTTGCGTGGCAACAGAACTAGCCTATGACACCCAAGAAACTGAGGCTGAATAAAGCTTGGCAGAATGGGGGTGGGGACAGTTGCAAAGCAGGAGGGGTGGGAGAGGGAGAGGGAAAGGTGTTTGAAAAGCCTGTTCACTCAGCTGCATTTTAATTTCCTTTTCAATCTTGTCCCAATTAATTTTGCAGAATTAATCTCGCCGAAGCAAGCATAG